TGTACTTCTCTCACCTTTTTATTTCTTATTCGGACACACTGAAGAGCCCTGAAGAATGACAAACTTGGCACGTTCTAACACTGAAGCACAGGAAGAGAACAAAGCAGTGCCTTTACTGTCCTCATTGAAGACAAGTCTGTAAATCTGTCTATTTTGCTCTCAGCTCTCCCTGCGTTTCCATTTTTGCTGCAGCGCCAACACAAAAGACAGTCAATGCCCTCAGTAAGATTATTTAGATGTTAAACTGCTTGGCCTGAGCAGACCTATGGGATGAGACTACACTGGCTCTGGGAAAAGAGTGAGACAACCTTGTCCAACCAAACTAGGGTTATTTTTTTAACTGTTGTGTAGTAAACAAAGCTGTTTCTTTCAGAAGAAAGCAAGGTAATGCCATATACAGTACGTTTTTAGTGAAATCTATTCTTAAATTTATTAAGACTGTTAGCCTTACCATAATATAATCTCATCCCAAAGTGCTTTATATACTATGAACGCTAGAATCAGAAACTGTTTCAATCATAATAAAAACATAGCTACGACTGGTTTGTGGGAAGTGGAGGTTATTTTAATCAGCTCCCCGTACAAGAAGTAATATTACATACCAAAGAACATAGTATCTATTACAATTTCAATAGTTTATGGAATCAATTATTTCAATTATATTTCAGCTTCTGGCCTACAGACAGTTCTATTTGATTTGAAAATAACTACTGTTGAAAAATAACACCTAGCTTTCCTTGGCAAGTTAGAGGAGAGTTTAATGTCTCCAAGAAAGATGGTAATTTGTTCGCATGAGTTCCATCAAAGGAACCTTTTAAGGAACCTTTCTGTATCCTCTAGTTTGCAAGGAAGAAAACAGATGCAAAGCTTACCCCTCCCTCTTTGACTTTTTATCTGTTGAAATGCATTTTCTTTATAGACTTGTATTACTCCCTCACTTTGGTGATTTTCTGTAATGGGTGAGCGCAAAAAGGTAAGCTCTAGAATTAGTGTCTGCCAGAACTGTTTGAACATAATGGTGATGCACGTGCAGTCACACACATTTTTGCCAGAAGGGGCACACCTTTGGAGGCTTAGTTCATGAAAAAATATTTTCTCTTTATAGGACAAGCCATGGGTTTACCCACGTACCCTAAACCTTTTTTCGTCGACTGTTTGCGCTGCACAGAATGGTTCCAGTTTTATTCATAGGCCTTGACAGCAATAGACTAAGTTCTATATCACAAACAGAAGTTACTTTACCTCTAAAAGAGCAATCATTTGAAAGATCCTATGTAACAAACACAGAGTATTTAACTAGCTAAACAAAGCCTGTTCACATGCCTTATTAGACATCTCTCTGGTAAGATTTCAGCTGTTGTACCAAATCCTGAATTTGTTCTTGAAATAAGAAAACCATTCCTATTATCCTGCATACCCTTTCACTGGAGCCCACAGTAGCAAATCTACCTCCAGTATCAAGTACTGCTGATACGTAAAAATGATTATCTACTGCTAATAGCCAGTATGTATACTATGCACATTTATTATTCTAAAAGAGAAAAAAAATCACTGAGGAAAAAAGAACACTAGAAATGTGTTGAGGTTCAACACATGCTGTGTAGCTAACTCATGAAATTTTCAAGTCATCAAGATTTCCCTAAGTGCTGGCGTTACAATTTAAGCACAGAAAACCTGCTCTAACAGCCTATTCTATATATTATAGCAAAACCAGTGATTCTGTAAGGGAAGCTGGAAGCTTTTCTGCTGATGCCCAAGCAGCATATTTCTAAGACCATTCTTCTGCATCCATTCAGGGTCTGTTACACTGGCAACAGTAATAAAAACATACTGGCGTTATAAAGTAAACCTGCTATTATTGACAGTGCCAACAAGAAGATGGCACGTAGGATAGACAGACTACTTTCTAAGAACCACGTTTCAACTAAAGCACAATTGCAAAGTTTTGCGGGTATTTTTTTCCTTTTTATTAATAGAATTAAATCCAATTGGTTTATTTTTTGCAAAAAATATTATAGATAAGACTTAAACGATGCAAAGAATCTGTTATACCAGAGGTACCATTAAATTGGCTATTCATAACACAACAGATCTGTTTTGATGCTCTGTCATTACATCTGATGCCTTTTATCTTTGCAGTGTACGAATGGACGGTTTGTTCATTCCTGAGAGAGCTTGCCCTTCTGCAGTCATGATGTATTAATATATTGCTATCTGGATTAGTATATACCCTGTTATCCACTAGTAGAATATGATGATTTCATGTCCCTTCATGGTTCCAGAACAGTTTAGTATACCATTTTTTTCCCTGGTCAGAGAGCTAACAGAACAGAATGCTATAAAGGAAAAAAATACTTCTGTGCACTACAGAGGAGGAGCCTTCTAAGCAAGAAAGCATTTTTAGTATTTGTCGAATTTCTGGATTAAATGCATTTGCCTTTAGGAATCTACACAGCTCAAACGTTGTAATGAAGGTAGAAACTATTTGCTTTAAAAAGCAAATCCAAAAATAGGGAAGCTTTAAGGGAAATTGTTTTTGAAGGTCATTTTAAAGACTGGCAAAATAAAACAATAATCCTGTTTTAGTGGCTGAACAGACTTTCACACTGATTTTTCATTTTTCTTTTAGCATAATCCTCACAAAGAAGAACACTGACAAACTTTGTCAGCATGAAGAAAAATTGGCTCTTGTCAGTACGGAACATGCAGCTAAGCAAGCTAAGGTCAAATTCACTCATGATATTCCAGTATTTCAGCAATGTTTCACTTATTTGCAACTTTATGAATAACTTTCCTGGAAACAGACTAAAGTTCTATCATGTTTATTAAACAAAGGAAGATAAACAAATTTTCCCGTAAGAGGACAAGCCTCAATATCCACATTTGCTAGACCTTGAAGAAGAAAATATTATTTAGAAAGAAGTTATAATGAGCAAGCTCGGACAGGAAGAATTTTTGTAAGGAGAAAAAAAAAAAAAAGGAGACCTTGCCCACTATATCGCTACATATCAGGAAGATACAGGGAGTATCTTGGGGTACAACCATGTAGTTAAGCCTGTTTAATAGGAAGCACGAAGAGGGATGTACACAGTGAGAAATTAGAGCATACCTTCCTTAATGGGATTTTAAAATTCGGAACAAGAAACATATTCATTGTGGTTTATAGGCATCATGCAAATCCTGTGTATTTATCTAACACAAAACAAGCCAACTAGTTAAGTTCCTGATTTTTTTTTTTTTCCTTGTTAGGAATATAATGAGGTTACAACATATGATAAAGATGATGCTGCCTGTCGGTCCTACACTACAGATAGTGCTCTCCCATAACAAGCTTGGGAAAGGGGGATTTCATACCACCCTGTTCAGATTTTAGGGAGGAGTATGAAGCAAAGAAATACACACTGTTAAAATCTTAACAGTACTTCAGTAATAAGGATGTCTTTCTTTCTTTCTTTCTTCTCAGAAGAAAGGTAGTATTTTCATTTCAAGAAACTCTGATAAACAGGTATTGTGTATTTTACCTCTCTATTTTTCATGGGGCATTTCCTTCTTGCTTTCCTTACACTTTGTGAAGACAGTGAATCACTAGCAGTGAGATCTTATTTTGACCCTGCACTTGGTCCGAGCTGCAGATCTGCTTATGTAGAAGGAAAAGATTGAAACAGCAAGGAAGTTGCAGGTCAGATTTACAATGGTCTAGCAGAGGCCTGCAGAGAAATGCTGTGCACAGGCTGCCTAAGAATACTTGAGCTGAAAGTCTCCTTTCCCAAATGCTAACATGAAAAAGCTAGCAAAGTTTTCAAAAAAGTATAGATAAATTACTATTTCTGGTCCCATCAGATCCTATATAACTTTTTTCATGACTGAGGTTACATATAACTTTTACTTCAAACAGAATCATTAAATATCCTATCTTTGGACTCTACTAACATTTCTAACTATCTTTAACTTTTTTTCTGATTGGAAGAATGATATGCACCTCCTTATATCATTGGATTTATTCTAACTTTTTGACTTAGAAATCTGAGGGATGCTATACACTTGAGCACATTAAGATGGAGCCATTCCTTAACATTTGGATTTCTGGCAACTAAATCTCAGTCTTGGTGTCTGTTTTACACACATCAGCTACATAGTGCATGAAAATAATCCATGCACTTCTGCGACCCAACAAATACAATGATGGTCTCTTCATTAATCATTTAAAAATTTCTATCGCCTTTGTGACTATTTATTCATATCAACTTGTTCTGCAAATTGCAGTGAAGCTTTTGAACACTCCTTTTCCAGTCAAAATTCAATTCTTCAAAAGTCTTGACTCCATATAGCAATTTTGGACTGGATCTTGCTGCTGGGTGCATGGGAAATAAGATTTTCAAAACAAAAAATGTTGTTGTGTACACACTAAAATATATTTTCAGTGTATCATGATGAAGTTATGTTAGGAACTACAGTGGTTTTAATAAAGAGCGAACGGAAAGAAAAGCACTGAAGTCAAGAAAACTGTTGGATTAGTATGTCAGGATTAGACCTGCAGTCAATATATGTAACAAAGTAAGACAAACAGGCACATCAGAAACATTGTTTGGCTGGAAGTACACCATACTTAGGATAGAAGACAAGTAGTCCTCCAGTCCCACCAAAAATGAGCAAAGAAAAATAAATGCCTGAAAAGTCCATTAACTCCCTAAGAACACAGCTCACTTACCATTTTCAAACCATGTGCATATCAAGTAAACTAGTCTGTGTATTTATAAGTAATTTAACTATAAACAGTGTTCCCTTTTATGATTTAACTTTTTGCTACTGCATTTTGCTTCCTGTTAAGTAACGGAATCAAATAAACAGTTGTTAGGATCTGGCTTCACATGTTTAAGATAAAATGACAAAATAAAACCACAAAATGAAGATTCTGCAAATCAAGTTCCCTTGGCCACAACAGACTGCATATGGTATAAAACAAAGGAGAGGAACCACAGCCGCAGAGGGAGTGGACATACCGTCAAACAACCCATCAGGCTCTGCTCAAATGGTCTCTGGAAGGCTCTGGGGTCTCCGCACCAGTCCAGGAGCTCTGTTGCTGCATTATGGAAGTTTGCAGGGTTCTGTAAGTGCTGGAAAGGGAAGATGAAGCAAGATGGTAAATCACATAGACAAGGGCTGACATAGTCTTTTCTACATCACATTAATGCAGAGTCTGGAAAATAGGAACAGCATGGAATTTGGAAGCAAGGCCTTTTGTACAGTGAACGCAGAAAATCCTACTTCATTCTTATGAATACTTTTGCATATTTTCTAGTTTTCTGATATGAACTGGTTAGTTAGAGGTGAGCTGTAGCTGAAATACCAGAGCTCCCCTGAATTCCTTCCTCCATAACATCACTTCTCCCATCTGCAAACTGTAATGGAATCTACTCAGAAGTCAAAACTTTCCGAGCCTAAACTGAGGGAAATTTCAGTCTTACGTCTTTGCCTTGGGCTTAAGCCCCATTGTTGGGACAGGCCAGCAGAGCCATGCCTTCCAACAATCAAGATTTTAATCTTTGCCTGCCAGCCAGAAGGCAAACATGACAGTCTCCAAGAACACCAGTAACAGAGCAAAGCACACTTAGTACACTGATCCTTTCTAGGAGCTTTGGTTTCTGTTCATCGTGATGTATCATCATAAGCAAATTGGGTGATCAACATTGGGATGATAAAAAATGACTGAAGTGTGGTGGGATGCTGCCATGACTGAAAATGTTTTCACATCCACAGAAAGCACGTACTAATTTCAGAGTGGAATCCTACCTCTCCTGAAGAGGGTGGCACAATTTTGAGAGAAAAATCTTGTTCTGTTTTGAAATTTGCATGGGTAATGCAATTTTTTAAACTGTTACATTTATCTCCGTCTTTGTACTGAACAACCTGTAGTCCTGTTTTTAGAGGTATTTAGTAAACTTACATGATACTATTATTCACACCGTCGTCCCTTACTGCGCTACATTGCCAAAGTATTCCAACATCTTAGAGCAGAAGCAGAGGGAGGGCACAGGAAAGAAGGAATTCAATTTACATGAATAATATTGCTACTAAATTCTCCAGTTCTGGTGATGCTAGATGTTTCAATGCAAACTCCAGAAACAAGAAGAGTGTATTAAGGAATTGTTGGTATCTTTTAAAGTAGTAGTTTTATAATTCTTGGGGTTGCTAAGAAAAACATGAAAACGAGATGAGCATTTTATATGGAAGGCACAAAACTCAAAGGCATCATTTTTAAAGTACATCATTATTTTTGAATCAGTTGCATAATCTGGGAAAACATGACTGCTCATTTCTAAGCATCTGGATTAACAATAATGTTCATACGCTATTTTTTTCCCCTCGTCCCCTCATGCCTGAGAGGCCGCATACATTCACTCTACAATAAATAAAGAAAAAAAAATAATTCCTCCCATGCCAGGTTTTGAGGAGTTCCCAGTCTGTGAACTTCTGGATCACGTTACTGTAATTCTTATTCAATGAAGGCTCTTGGTCAGAGGTTTTGTTTTAACAAGAAATGACTGACATGTGGGGCATGGATTTTTTAAAACAATAGCAGAATTTGAAAAAGCAGACAGGCATTGTGCAATGCGGTTTTCTTCCTCTGCTCTACAAACATGGACTAAAGCTCACGCTACCATCCAGTTTGATAGCTTTACCTAGGCTGCAGTTCAGAACATTTCTTTGCCAGCTGATCGTCTAGTAGTTGGAGGAGTCAAACTATTGTGTATACAAATGAAAGAGAAGAATCCAAGTAAAAAAAACATAAGAAGCCATATTTTAAGACTTGTAAAAAAAAGTCTCATGAACAGAGCCAGCAGTTTGGGTTATGAATCTAGTAAGTAAAAGGGAAAAGGATGCCTTTTTGAGGGTTTCCTTTAATCCTCCAGAGAAGGTATTGCCTGACACCAATCCTCTCAGTATCTACTGCTCCTTCTGCATGCCACTTTCATCTGTAAGGGAAACAGAAGTTGCTTCAAACCCTTCTACAATAGCATACGTAAGCTCTGCTACTATCAAATACACAACTTCCAGAAAGCAATAAAGGCGCATAAGCTGGTGAACGAATCACACCATACTGAACACATACTGCACCAGTAGGACACAGGTCACTGATCTCTCAGGAGGGGAAAAAAACCCAAACCAAAAACCCCTTCCACACAGAAACACCGTAAGGATAAATTCACTGAAATCTACTCAGTTCTGTACTTGATATCGTCTTTAATAGTCCTTCCCTCCTTGTGAAATGAATTGAGATACACTGATGAAAAGCCCTAAATAAGAGCTAGATACTATTTGTTTTCACCAGCGTGCAAGCTACACGCATGACATCTTCCATTAATGCTTACAATGGAATTTCCCCATCAAGAAACAGACAATATACTTGAATCAGAACAATTTTTATAGGTTTAGGCTAACAAATGAAATGCAGAGGCAGGATCTTAGCCATATGCTTAGTTTTCAGTTTAGCACCACATAATGCCAATTTCTACTCACACCACTGAAAGGCAGTACCCCTTTTCTAGGGTAAAGGTCCAACATATATTAAATCTGCACTTCCCTGTGAAAGAAAAGGCTCCTTCTACTTGCCTGTGTGAAAACAGGGGTGACCTCAACAACTTGATCTAATTGTTTGTTCTGTAACTCTCCCTCAAGTTATTTCACTGCATCAGGACCAAGCACTGAGGCACACTATCATAACCCACTTCTTAAACACAGAGGGGGTGCTGAAATCCTGACTTCTTACATGTAACTATGCAAATGAAACTAGTTTAGAAACTCGTCAGGGAAGTTAAGCAATTCTATTAGTTCCATTATAGGCTAAAAAGCCCCAAACAAACTGTAAGAAGAAGTTGTCAGAATATCAGTCGTTTCCATCTCTGTGGAGTGGGTTTGAGTAGTTTCTGAGAAGACAGAAAAGTTGGTCCTGAAGGGACGCTTCTTGCAATGTCACACACAGTTCTGTGTGGGACATATTTCTCACAGCCTTCTGACTTTATTAATATTTTAAAATTAAGGTTCTCCTCCGATTTTTCTTTTTCAGATTACAGAGGGCAAGGTTACTTTTGTGAGAAACAAAGAGAAGATCCAGCATGAACCAAAGCATGAAGGCAGGTGCAACTCCTTCCCTCAGTTATGCAAGAAGACATTACAAATGCCTACTGTGATTTTTTATTTATTGACAGCTTGAACACTGCACCCGGGGCAAAAAGCCCCAATGTCATTCAAATCCTCACAACAAAAAGCCTGCTTGAGAAGACTATTACATCTACTATATTCATCGAAGAAGAAATTCAAGAGATTTTCTTAGCTCTTGATCCAAGAACAGAAGTACAAAACAAAGCTTATGCCAGATACATCCATCAGCTTTGTTGTGAAGCATTTCCCATGCATTGCTCCATCCTCTTCAACTGAAATTATTGGCAGCATTTTGACAGAAGCAAGGCGTGTAGCTGAAGAGTCTAGTCTGAAACTGTGCTTCATGTAAACAAGTAAAAAAAAAAAAATCACCTCATTAGTAGAAGGTTTAGAAAAAAGTGACAATGAGCCAGATCTGGCTATGACACACCTTGGTGTATTTTCAAAGCTACTAGTGAAGGGCCACCTAACACCATCATGCTTGCAAGCAACGGTGTTTTCAACAAGTGGAGAGAATTTGTATGAATAAAATCTGAAGCAGAGATGAACAACAGCGAACCGAATGAATCAGTTATTTACCAGATTGCTCTTCATATCATCTGCTTTTTAGAAGATGATTAGTGAAACATGACAATTTCTATTCTTTCAAAACCTAAGAAAAATTTCAGTGCAATCATTTATAACTCAAAAACCCTAATATTTCCTTAACCCGAATGGAACAGAAATCACAGAAATACTTGATGCGTGCGAGTGTTCCATTATTGCAGGGATCACCAGGTGGTGCTTTGAAGAGACAGTCTCTCAGAGTCATTTATTTTTGGTCTTGGAAGGAATCTTGTGCTCTTTGTAGCACTTCAATTAACAGGCTGGTGTAGGGGGATGGACAAACAGGAAAGGACTTTGCTCTCCACTTCCGTATGTCCAACAAGAGTGAATTATACCAGCAGAGCCCCTTTCTGAGGACTGGGCTGACATTGGGCTGAATACCAGGGAAGACAGGAACATCTACCTGCTGCTCGTGACCACCTCCAGCTTAAACGTTTTATGTACGTAAAGCACAGACCATCTTTGTAAATTATAGTGGACACATGGTCAGAGGATGCAGGTACATTGGGACAACAACTGTCTGTGTGCCTGTTCCATGGTTTGCTGCTGTGTAGTGACCTGGAGGGGGGGAAACAACAACATTCACATGGGGAGTTAGACTCAAAAGCTGATATGTGGCAATTTTTCATGCAAACATTTCAAAATACAGCTGCTTCTTGAAATTGTTACTCCCTTTCAGTTAGGCAGTGATCAAAGAGTCTTGATATGCAATAAAACTCTGCAATGGGCCAAAAGTGTAAGTTTCATCCCACATATGAATTCAGGCCCCTATGACTGAACTATGCAAGAGACCTTATTTTTTAAAAGGCTACTAAAGCACAATCGAGTACTTTCAGTCTACACACCCACACCAAAGTGGGTGCAAACCACTTCCTGCAACCAAAGACTCAATATGATTTTAGAGACAGAAACCAATTATCCATATTGAAATACAGCAAGGACTACAGCCTTATCTCCTCTAAATATAGAGGACTGAAACCCAGATGTACACTCATGTACCTTAGACAGAACAGCCTGGTAAGTAATGGAAGAATAACAGTCAAAATTAAGAGCAATTACAGAGGGTTAACATTATCTCACACACACATCAAGAAATGCTAACATGACAGCAATGGTATAGAAAGTGAATCTTTTAAACATGGAATCCATATGTTCCAGTTTGTTGCTACAGAAAACAATTTACAAATGACATATCTCTGGTGGGGGATTTTTTTTCTTCTCTCTGTTCTGTGGAATACATCAGATTGAAAGCACAGACCTAATTTGCCACAACTTAACCTATTCAAAATGAGATGTCATGCAAATAAGTTTTTGAGCAGCAAACTGCTTAACTATGCTAAACAAGTTA